AGATTGTTTCCTTGGAGTTGCACCTACTCAATGACATCAGGAGGCTGAACCCTCGGCAATCCGTGCGTTCCCCATATTACTCCCCAGGAGATTGCTGTCACGATGGTAAACTGCCCACGAGCAAACAATGCAAGTGCAACATGGCAGCAGCAGGCAACGACTCAGCGAAGTGCCAAGCAATGCTGCCGGGGCAACCCGACAGCAGAACGCCAAAGCGATTTGCGATGGACCGGCAGTGCAAGCGGAAGCGGACGGCCAGCACAGCAGCGGTGCAGAGAAGAGTGAAGTATGAGGCAACACCAAGGAAGCAGGCAAACTACACAGCACACAAGCAAAGAATGTGGAAAGGCAAGTAACGGAGATGGGCAGCAAGGCAACAGCATTGCGAAGCACAAGGCAACACCAACAAAGCAACCAGACTGCACGGGAAACACACCGGCTATAAAGAACAAACAAGATGGGAGGCAAGCTGGATGCACAGCAAAGCAGCGGCGGAGCGCAAACAAGGCAGCCGCACGTGGAGCAAAGCCCATCCAACTTGATCCAAGCCCTACTTACGGAACAAGAAGAACCCCGTAGACTGTTGGTTCCCACCATTTGCTGAGCCAGAAGGCCACTCCGGCAGAGTTCTACTGTCACCCATAGACCATATGCACCCCAGACATCACAGACAGAGCGCTTCCCCCTAAGAGTCCTGCAGGCACCCCAAACCACCGACGACCGACTATTTAGCTCTTCTCAAAGGTGCTCACCTGGACCCACATAAAGTCAAACAATCAAGAAAGAAAAATATATATACATACATCGACGTCTGGAGAGTCGAGGCCTGTGTATGTGACAGTTGGGGGGAGGGAAGGGCGGGGAAAGGGGGGCCGCAGGGTCACCCTGCAGGTTGGGGGGGAGGGGGGGGGGGGAGGGGCCGGGAGGGGTTAGTGCAGAGAGAGATGCATAAAAGGAAAAAGCTGGGAAATTGTGAAGAGACTCAAGAGAGTGGATATGTGGAATTGAAGGGTCCATTTGAATTGAAGGGGGAACAATGGGGGAACAATGGGGGAACAATCTGATGTACAGGGGGAGAATAGTTCAATGAACCCAGTCAGATAGAAAGCAGAAAGCTCGTCAATGTCGAGAAGCAGGATGTCTCAGCGCAGATACAATGTCTCCAAAAATTGTACTAGTAATCAAGTAGCCCAATGTCATGTCAGCATAGAACAGGCTGATAGGAGGGAGATAAGACTTAGAGGGTGGACGAGAAAGTGTCCGTCAGCGTAGCAGATAGATCTCCCTCACAAGCCCACTTCTCCTTCGGGCATCTCCAACTTCCACGTCAGCAGACAGTCTCCTCTGACACACTCTGAACACGAACAGACCTCCACGTGGCTCCTGCACAGCGCAGACAACCTCGGAAGGCGAATCAGCAATGCGCAATATCGATCACGAACGCAGACCGGTTAGCTTTCCACAATCTCACAGCCCTGATCCTCCTCCTCGCCGGTGTCTCATCAATGTTGCAGACAGTGTGGCAAGAGCCACGTCAGCAAAGTCAAGTATCCAGCTCGCGCCACAGACAGAGAAGGCGCCAGCCCAAAGCTTCAGCAGTCTAGCGTCGTCGTCAATGTCGAGCCAGCGTAGAGCCAGCATCGAGCCAGCGTCCAGCCAGCGTCAAGCCAGCGTCTGCATCGAGCCAGCGGTCAGCAGGGGCTGAGCCAATATGTAGTGTTGACTCTAGTCGACCAGCCGCTGGTCTCTCAGGTTCGATGGCCCAGATTGTCTCGCAGCTAGTAGCTTGGATCGTTACAGGTACAGATTACAGATTCCCACCTGGACTCGATTCTTGACAGATACGTGCAAACAGCCAAGTGTGTGTGTTTGGTCGGCGGCCTGGACTGGGTCCATGTTGACTTTGACTCGTGAGCCTGAATTTCCGAGCTGGCGCAATGCACGGATTGCTGAAATACCCTCACGGAGGGCTGCTCACACTACCACTTCCGAGAGTGCATCTACCTTTTTTTTTTCCCGTGTCTCTTTTTCGATCTGACATGGAACAAGAAGCATGCCATTGATTGCGGCATGGAAAACATACCCATGATTGGTACCTGAAAGTTTCTTCTGACAAATCTGGTCCATTCAGTGATTTCAGAAAGATGTCTCTTTGGGAAAAGGTTTTTTTTTTTTTTTTTTTTTTTTTTTTTTTTAAATAACCATGCTACCATGCTAGGGGGAGTGATATGAGCATCCCCTTCTAGCGGGCCGCCTGGTCGCTCCAATCTATTGGTGGGAAGCAACACCTGCTGGAAAACGGGTCCAGCGTCCCACTAAACATCCTCAAAGCTGATTTTCACACAGTGTCCTGCCAGCATTGATTGCCCGTATTACCGGGGATTGACTGCGCAGGCGCTGTCCCACATGACCAAAAGATACGGTGCTACCTTACAAATTCACTGCAATAACATGATCATCATGGTCATCGTCGTCGTTACTTGTTCCCTTGGGCCCTATGCCACTTATATGACTCTCAGGCTTGCCACCCAACACCACCCACTTTGCAATGCCTACACACAAGCTCTTGCTTGCCACTGCATCCATGGTTTTTTCCAGACTGTGGCAGTGGAGCACGCGATCGGATAACACTTTGCCGTCGATCAGCGGATGGCCGGAGGTCGCAAAGCACCGAACGTTGTACTCAAACTGCTGGACGGTAAGAGTCGTGGGTACTTGCCGGGACACGCCATTGATTTTGTACGTTACTGTTCTCGCCGTGCGATCAAACTCGATGTCGATATTCCACGCTCTGAGCTCACCCTGTGCGCGTTGAAAGTTGCAGGTTGGCTCTGTTGTCGGGCAAATACTGTTCAGCGGATCGACGAGCACGTGCACCTTAGGGTACATCCAATACCTGTTTGTGATGTGGTCGCAGCAACCGCCCTCGTTGAACAGCACCTTCAGCAGGCAGCGCACAAGCTCGAGGCCCTTTTGGAAACCCTTTTGCCCGATCCCTTTGTAGACAGCCGAATAGCACGCAACCATGATGCCTGCACAGACAATTACGGCAAGCTTGGTGTTTACCCAGGCGATGGCAACAAGAAGCATGCCACTGATTGCGCTGAGCAGCGACCCTTGTTGGCGAAGTCTGTACACTGATCCATGGACCATCACACTGGCCCTCGCTTTCACCATCGGCTCCTTCGCGTCCGTTACCCCGAGAAGGAAACTTTCACGACTTTCGTCCGAGAAGATCTTGTCTGCCAGGAATTCCTCTGGAGGCTGATTCAGGAATCGTCCGCTACCGAGCCTCATCATTTCTTCAAGATCGTTGCGATCGTACGGTGCACTGAATGATATCCCATTGTAAGTCCGCGTCGTCAGACCCGAGGTGCAGTTGAACTCGGCGAGTACAGTAGCCCCAGTGTGTGCGAGCATTCTCTTCGGCATTAACCATTCGACATGATCCCGCTTCCGCCTTCCCAGGAGCAGCGGTATGTACCACAGGAGGTTGACTCCCCAAAAAAAAGATGTACAAATCGTCACGGCTTGGATGCTTTTGAATACCAAGCCTGCTAATCCCGCCACGAGCGTACATACCAGTGCGAACACTTCGCATGCAGTATCCGTAAAGATCCATTTCTTGAAGAACACGACTGTGGTCCCACCCGCTTTACGCATCTGTTTCTCGATTACAACCCGCCATTTATGGATCTGGCTGGTGATCCGCTGTCTACTCCACTTCAAACGCATTGTTCCTCCAAAGTTTGCCCACTACCGTCTTCGCCCGAATAGAACACCCAGTATTTATCGCCGTCTCTGGGCTGAAAGTTGTGCCAAATACAGCTTTAATGACCCCGGGCCGGTGTTCTATTCGGGTGAAGACGGTTGTTCGTTTAACAGTCTAGCCTCAAGTTAGCATGCTGCAGTGAGATCTACTACCATATCTGGGTACACTGTCAATGCCGCTGCTTCTTTCACCGCCGCGGTTGCTCAGGCTTTGTGTTAGATTTTTTATAATTCTGATTTCGTCGACCCAGTCCGGCTCTTGACTGGCCTCTAGAAGACGACCGGAGTCTGGTCTTCACGGCACTGCGTTTGTTTGACACACACGTGACACGGCAACCAAAGAATGAAGTGAGATTTACATCATCGTACAGCCTAAAGCCTGAGGTCGACACGGTGACAGCAATCTCCTGGGGAGTCCCCTTGGGTGGTCTGAGAATCAAAGACAAACAGATTTTGTGGATGGAACGTGGGAGTCAGACTTGGAGCGGATGAGGTCGCGCTTTTCGAGCAAGTCACAGGACTCACAACACAGTGCCTACCACCACTAGACTCCAAAGTATAAATGTACAGAGTCTTTTTTTTTCTTTTCTTTTCTTTTCTTTCTTTACTTGCAATTTTTTTTTATTTTTTTTTTTGAAAAATCATTGGTGCCCATTCTGCCAAATTCAAAGTGGAAAAAAAAAAACCCTAAACCTTTTTGAAAAARAAAAAAAAAAAACTAAACCTTTTTTGCCTAATTCAAAGTAAAAAAAAAAAAAAAAACTAAGTAGTAAATACTAAATACCATGCACTCGCCTTCGGGACATCCGTTAAACGTGGAACGATACAGAGAATGAAGGTTAGCATGGCCCCTGCGCTTTCAAGGTTAGCCAGGCCAGGCCCACCGGGCCACCGCTGGTCGCTCCAGTCTATTAGTGGGGAGCAGCACCTGTGGCCCTGCGTGAAACTGAAACTGGGTCCACTTTCCTATTGCAGTACTGTAACACTGTCATTTTAATACCAGGCATCAGGTTCCCCCATTGGCAAGCAGTTTGCAGATACCCCTTACTTAGTTCCGTTCCCTGCCCAGCTCTGACTCGGAGCATCCGGTCCCGTCAACCATTCCCTGCCCAGGTACCCCGTACCTAGCCTTCCCTAGGGTTTTTTTTTTTTTTTTTTTAGCCTTAGAAGTTAGTACCTAGTTTAGACCCCAGCCCAGATCCCTATCCATCCAATCTCCAAAGGATTTGGATTCCCTGCCCCATCTCAATCTACCCAAAACTCGTACATGCTGTGGACCTAAGCCCCACGGAACTCTTCCTTTCCGCCACTAGCTAACGTGACCCCGCTTTTTTTTTTTCTGTCACGGTCCAGCACGACCCATTGTACTGTGGCTAGAGCTAAGCGCGTGTGCATCACAGCATCCATGGTGTTCATCAGATCTTTGCAATATAGCACAAAGTTGGTGAGTATGATGCTTTCTATCAACGGGTGCCCAGAGGCGGCAAAGCATTTCACATTATACTTGAAGTCCTCTTCCGGAAGGGCTGTTACGACGCTGTCGTGCACCCTGCCAACTCTATAGGACACGGTTTTTGTGCGGGGGTCGAAGAAGATATGTACCCCCTTCTGCTTGAGCGTTGCCAAGGCTTCCTCATAACTGCAAGAGGGTTCGGCTCTACGGAAAATGCTATGGTTGGGATCCACAAGTACCCGTAACTTGGGATAGATCATGTACCTATTTGTCATGTGGTCCCCACAACCAGGGGCACAGAGCAAGACTTTGCCAAAGTACAACATAATCTTCAGTGTCGAGTCGAAGATATCTGTTGTCGTCCTTGTTACGACGGCCATGTAGAGTGCAAGCACGATTGCACTGGATAGGCAGACAACAAGCCTGTTGTTCGTGAGGGACATGAGAACAACAAGCAATGCCATGATCACATTGAGCTGAGGTTGTAGTCGACGTAGATGGAAGACCGGATCGTGGACTCGAGCACACGCCCTTGCTCTTACCACTGGTTGTCCTTTGATGGTGGCCAGGAAGTATTCCGGCAAGGGGCAACTACATACCTTCAGATGCATGAACTCTTCGGTTCCATGTTGAAGCATCCGTGTATGCCCGAGGGATAGCATTTTCTCAAGATCGTGATCGCGGTAACGTGCGCTGAACGTAAGCTGGGATGCCTCGTATGTACGCGTGGCCTGAGCCCTGACGCATGGGTACTCCTCGAGCAAGGTCACGTTCTCCAGGAACGGGGATTTGATCATATACTTGGGCAGTATCCATTCTCCATCGTCGATCTTGCTAAAACAGATTGATCCGTACCAGAGCAAGTGGATTGCACCAAAGACTGCTGTGCAGATGATGACCTCTTGGATCGGTTCAATGGCGAGGCCAAGCAGGCTAGCCGTGACTATCGCGGCGTTTGCCAGAATCTCGCAGCAGTGGTTCACAAAGTTCCAGTTGTCTAGCAGTTTGTGAGTGAGGTCCATCTTCAACAGCAAACAAAGGAAACCAAACCCAAATAAATACTAGGAAAATGTAATGGAAAACGTCTCAAAACTGCTTTTTTTTGTCTCTTTTGAGGCCCGGTCCGCGGCCTGGTTTTTAATGTTTTTTTTATACCCCTAAAATTGACCTAAAAATACATTAAAAAAAAAAAAGAAAAAAAAAGCAGGGTTGTAGGGCTTGGAAAACCCTACAATCCTATATTTTTTTTTTTTTTGGAATCCGACTTCGTTTAAGATTTTTTAAAAATGAAAAACGAAATTCGATTTAAGCAAATTATTAAAAATTAAAAAAATAAATAAAAAGAAAAGCAGGAACTTTTTTTTGTTATTTTTTATCATGAGGGACATGGTCGCTGAGTTGTCCTGTACTTTTTGAGAAATGTTTTTCGGGTTTGTGTCGGGAAATTGGGTGTTAAAAAAAAATTAAGATGCAAAAATTGAAAGAAAAAAAAAAAAAAGGGGTCAGGCTGGGGTTGGTGTGTGTGTGTGTGTGTGTGTGTGTGTGTGTGTGTGTGTGTGTGTGTGTCACGGTGTGTGTGTGTGTGTGCGCCGGGGGAGGAGGGGGAGGACCCCTCCCCCACCAATCAATCAACCAATCAATCAACCAATCAATCAATCAAGCAAGCAAGCAAGCAAGCAAGCAAACAAGCAAGCAAAAAACAATCAATCAATCAATATTTTTTTTTTTTTCATTTTTTTTGTCACTCACCCAAACCCCCCCCCCAAATTTTCAAATTTTTTTTTTTTTTTTTGTACAGGGTGGTAGTGGCCGGCATGCGCAGGCGGGGTGCGTGCGCCGTTTTTCTGTGCGCGCCCCCGCCTGGCCCTGGCGCGGCCTCCTCAACTGCGTCCGAGGCGGCGGCGGCCGCGGCCGAGGGGGTCACATAGGGCAGCGGCTTTGAGATATCATCTTTGGAACTGACAGGCCCCAGGTAATTCAGAAAGAATTTAAAATTTAAAAAGAAATTCATTTAGCTAAAGCTAGGTCCATCTGGATTCGAGCTCACGTCTGTTTTTTTTTAACAGGTCAAGGAGTGTACCAACTGAGCTAGGCACATTCAATTTGGACTTAAAAGTTAAAACCGCTTTACCTTAAGAGCAATGGTGGCAATCATTTTTTTTTTTTCCTAGTTAACTGACATTTCGTTAAAACTGACATTTTTTTTTAATTATAAATTCGTGAAAGTGGACTCCGTCAAAATTTCATTGCTCCTCATTGGGTGACCAGGGTGAGAAAGTGGTTATCTCAATTTTTTGACCATCGGATGTATTTTTTCTCGCCGTAAAGTACCGTCAAAATACGTCCGAGGGTCTGATCATCGGGCTTCGTCACATCACCCGACCATCAGATGGTCCGACATCATGGGGACAAAAACAGCGAAAAATAAAATACTGTTTTTTCAACTTTTTGAACTTTTTTCATACGCTCAATTTTGTGAATTTCGCTCAAAATCTCAGTTTTATCGAAATGTCAGGAAGGGGTCTGGGAAGTCTTCGTTCGGTGCCATTGGGATGGATGTATCTATCTTGGTCCATTCGTTGACGAGGAGCCGATAATCCCTCAGCTGGTTATCCCCTGCTTCCAATGGGTTTCCCTTTGCTCCGCTTTCTGCTCTACCCCTCTACCTTTCCTGTCCTCCCACCCTGTGCCCCCCCCGCAAGCCAGCGTTTACAGAATCCTTGAGTGACATTGAGTCTATTGTTTTGTTTGAATCCCTCTGACAGTGTGTGTGAAGGTGAAGTATTTGTGCTTTTACTCTTTCCCATTGACAATGTGTGGTTATGTCTGTGTGAATCTCTTAGACTTGTTGAATGCGACTCTCTGAACAGGGGTCATTATGGATGAACAGCAGAAAGAAGTGCAAGAAGTCCCCTCAGCTGATGATGGCCTCACTCTGGCGGTGAGCCTGAAACCGGTCGGGACGACTGCCAGGAGTCCTTTGTTCAATGGTTTTAAATAAGAAACTTTAAGGTCTCGTCTGCAATTTTTTTTTATCTCGTGCGAATTTTCCTTCTCTCCATACCCATCCTTCTCTCTCTCTCTCTCTCTCTCTCTCTCTCTCTCTCTCTCTCTCTCTCTCTCTCTCTCTCTCTCTCTCTCTCTCCTCTACGAGCCCATGGCACGATTTTGAGCATCTTTGGATTCCAGAGTTCGCAGCCAGGAGGCTGCGCTTGTGTGGGTTACATTTCCATTTCCATTTTCGTCGTTTCATGTTCTTTCTATTTTCGGTAAGGTCGTGCAGTACAGCTTCGCTAGGAAAGGTTCGTTTGGGGTCTCGGACAGCAGAAAATAGGGTCCCCTGACTAAGACCGGTCGTAGGACAGGTTATCTTGTCAAGGTCGTTGCAATTTAGAATTGGGTGCCGTCCATTGTTTCCCTTTTGAGGGATAGAGTTTTTTTCCCGTTGCAAACTGGGGCCGGGCGATATGGGTTTGGGTGGGCGATTTGGGTCCTTTTTTTTTTTTTTTTTTTTTTTTTTGCTTTTTCCCAGAAATACAGTATCCAAGCATTCTACTGTTTGTTACAAAGTAAGGAAATCTAGAACGGACTGTCATGCCTCGTTGGCAGGGCTTTCTAATAAAATTTTTATTGCCGTTTGTTTCGCAAATGGGCGGGCGATTTGGGTCTGGGTTGTTTCCTTTTTTTTTTTTTCTTCTTTTTTTTTTTTTTTTTTTTTGTTTTATTGATTGTCCTTTTTTTTTTTTTTTTTTTTTTTTTTCTCTCTTTCTGCTGAATCTTCCCAGAAATACAGTATGGAATTATTCTGCTGTTTACTTTGACCAAGTAACCAAATCTAGAACCGACTGCCCTGCCTCGTTGGCAGGGCTTACTTTACTGAGAAAAGAAAAGAAAACCGAAAAAAAAACGTACTTACGTTCGCCACGAGAGCTGTGGAGATGGAGGCCCTTGCTCCACTACTGACCAGTGACCAAATGTGCAAAATGAGCATGAATCTTCTGGTAGAACATAGGTACATACACAGCTAGAAGTTAAGAGCTTGAATGCCCTTTTTTCCGGGCCTTGCCCCGTGTGGGGTGGTACAGCCCTCAGTTGCTCGCTATTCGCTGTTCTTTTTTTTTCTTTTTTTTAAATTCTCATGCCACTTTTTGTTTCAAGTATAGCCAACATCAAAACACACAGTGATAAGTTAAACACAAGGACCTTGTCCCACTTGGCAATGCACCGTTTAGTTGAGCCAGCTCAACCCTGCCACAGCTAAAAAAAATCATTCTCATTCAATTCCAAATGAGAAATGCATTTATAAATGTTACCAATACAAAAAAAAAAATGTTCTGGTCTTTTTTTTTTTTTTTTTTTTTTTTTTTTTTTTTTTTTTTTTCACAATTGGAGTGCCATACGATACGGGCACTTCCACAGCAGATTCTGAAAATGACGAGTGAGTTACAAAAATGGCAATTTGAAACGGAAGGAGGCTCGTACAGTTTCTCTAGAAAAAACGCACTTTGGCGGAACAAGAGGGTGGTTGAGCTAGCTGTCTTGGAAAAAGGAGACAGCTAGCTCAACGGAAAGTGGCGAGGGTAGGGGGAGTAGTATTCGAGAGAAAGGATTTACTTCTGCTTTTCGTTGTAAGAAAAAGCAAAGATAGTATCTACTGCCGTTTTCAATGAAAAAACGGACCGCTAGATGACTTGGAAGACGTGCATCTCCGTTGTCGCGTACAGTCACACAGCGTCGAAAGCCCAACGTTGACCTAGCTCAACGGAGCTAGTGGGACAAGGTCCCAGGGCAGCACTCT